TTATTCTATACAAGAAACTTGACTGGAAGCGAAACATTGGAGATCGCTCCAGAAAGGCCAATACCGCCCTTTATGCCTGTAAGACGGCTATAGGCAAAATGCGGAATAAAACCACAACCCATCCTTTTCTACGGGATCACCGTATGGTGACCTGCGCTAAACAACATTTTGTCCAGAGGCAAGGTGGAACGGGTGCAGAGGACGGCTGCCATGCTAGTCACGGGACCACTGCCAACTACACCCACCAAATCTCTGAAAATAATGTTAAATCTTCCACCTGTGGATCTCTACGGAAAATTTAGGTCCGGCTGCAGTGCGGCCAGGTTAAATACAATCCAGCCGTGGAGAGACCTTTAGATTCGGACACGCAAAAGTACTTCAAACTCTAAAGGATAATCTACGACAGATAGATTATACCACTCCTCTACTCTGTTTAGACAACAAATTCTCCACAAGCATCCCAGAGAGAAACGAATGGGAAGGGGCCACAGACCTGAACCCAGGGTCTACGGCCATATATACAGAAGATTCCAAGCTTAACAAAACAGTGGGGAGCGGGATCTACTCTGACGAACTCGCGCTAAACCTCATTTTTCGCTTACCGGGCCATTGTAATGTTTTTCAAGCAGAATTAAACGCCATAATGGAGGCGGCTCGGTGGCTCATAACCACCTCCAGGACGGCCTATTGCTATCTTATCTGACAGCTAGGCTGCTATCAAATTTCTCAATTCTAACGGAACAACGCCCAAAGTAGCAATAGAATGTAGGAAGATTCTCAACCTGCTGGCATTAAAATGCTCCTTGACTGTTGTATGGGTCCCTGGACATAGGGACATTCCTGGCAACTGCCTAGCCGATGAGCTGGCAAGGAGGGGGACGGAAATATCTAAAGTCAATTCTGCTCAGAATGCGGGTATACCTCTAACCTCCTGCAAACACAGACTAAAGGCGGAACTCGTCGAGGAGGTAAATATCGGTGGGCTATGGAAACCACCTGCCATACTACCAGGAAAATGTGGCCAAAGATTGATGTAAAGCAATCCATAGCTCTTACCCGTCTAGACGCTCCTCTTTCAGATTAGTAGTCGGGGTAATCGCCGGACACTGCCTGATGGGCACACACGGAAAAAGGCTAGGATACCCCACCAACGATTTTTGTCGCAGTTGCAGGGACGAGGAAGAGGTGGAGACCGTTGAACACTATCTCTGCCATTGTGCCGCCTTGGCCAACACGCGCAACCGATTCTTCAACAGGTACTTTTTAGAATGTCCTCGACTTTTTGTGCTATATAAAACGCACTCGGTGGTTCAATTATTAAGGAAGGGAAAGAAACAAATGGTTTCGGCCAGTGGTATTACAACGGGCTTTTTCAGCCCACGTGTGCTCCGCGTTCTGCGTGGATCCCTTTAGCCCAGAAACTTTTCATAAAGACAAATTTCTTGTTTTTATGCGTCATATTTTTTTCCTTGTAAATGGATTTCTTTTCTTACCGCTCCTCTCACGTTTGAGAAAAATTTGCAAATTCAATATTTCTTCATTTGAAAATAAAGAAAAAATCCATATTAAAAATGTGGCTTTTAGTTTGGGAACGCTATCAACAGTTATTTGGGATGCATTTGAGAAGTAACGTTTGAGATTTGAGAAAAGGACTTATTCTCAAAATGCATCTTAAATTGCGATTTAACAAAAATGTTTATTGGGTTGCAAGGGGTTTTGTATATTCCTTTACACATATCGTACCTACGCTGCAAGAGTGTTATAATCCATTTATTCGAAAAAGTAGAAAAATAGCTTTAAATTTACACTTTACATATTATGTACGCTCCCATAGTAAAAATGAAGACACATATTCTTCCAGTGAGCTATTGTTAATGAAATGTTTACACAAACTTTTGTAACTCAATTTTTTTTTTTATTTATTTTTGATCATGATACTCTTACAGCAAGTGTACGATATTTATGTATAGCAGATTTCAGTGACCCCTTAGACCGAATCTGTCTGGTTCGCTCTACTAAAGTTTCTCTCTCTTTCATGTTCTGCGCGGACGCAAGAGTTTGAATGGAGTCTAGTCGAGCAACTGTAATGGTACTCGATTAGCATGTTTTCGATCTTACACAGTTTTTAGCTCGAAGTTTCAAAACATATAAACCAAAAAATTTAAATTTTTCATCTGGTAACACTGATATGGGTAATATATAAAAGTATGTAAAAAAATGTATGCAAAATATGGGTTAAAAGCGTTTTAAAAGATGTATAGGGTATATAAGAGCCAATAATATATTTTCGATTAGTTTAGTAACATTTTGGTGCTGTTACAAATTGCCAAAAAAGGTATTAACCGCTATTTGACGTTAAGACATTAAGACGTTTAACACTTCTTATGAATCCCGTATATATATACAACCACCTTTATCAAATCTAAAAAAAAGAAAGTCCTTTAAGTATGCATGTTTGTATTTTTTTTCTTTTCACACGATTTTTCATATACAATTTTCATATCGCCTTACACTGATTTCTCAGGAACCTATCACTCTCGTGTAAAGCGCGGTATAGATATATACCTCGAAGTAAAAACCCCTAAATTTATTCCATAGTGTATTTTGTTATTAACGCCTATTTTTATTGCTATTTTTTTTTTTTTTAGATGCAATCGACTTGGCTAATACTTCTATGGCGTCGTAAGCTCAGTGCTCTGCTAATCGGCTCTAGTTTAGTGCTGTTCGTACTTTGGACCTGGGTTTTCTTTATTTCGAGCAGCAGCGACATACCGACTGATGGTCAATTTAATGTAAGATTATTATTTTAATACTTTAAAATAGAAATAAATTTAATTCCAATTCATCCATCATCTAGGACCTAATACAAACTGACAATCCACAAAAGCACGTATATCTTCTGCAAAAGCTTATCTCGCAGGCAAATCGCGTATTACGCCACCAACAACAACAACA